TCCGGCAGCCGGCCCCCCCCCCCCCCTGCCCTGCCTGCAGGCAGCTGGCAGAAAGAGGGGGGTGAGGGGCCCTTGGGGTCTGGATGAGGAGGGTGAAAAGACGGGAAGGGCGAAGCCAGGGGGAGACAGCCGAGGCAGGACTCCTGGGTCCCCATTCTAGGCTGAGGGACAAAACTGCAGCTTTATCCATGGGGTGCAGGGAAGCTGACCCTGCGATTTCCCCAAACCACTAGTTCCTTCCTGTACCTCGCTCAGGGATGCTCAGCTCCGAGGGCAGGACACCAGGGTGGGTGAGGGAGGAGTGGCTCTGAAAAGGGGTCACTGAGAACTCTGGGACCCTTCAGCTGCTTAGGTCCCTGGTTCCCGGCAGGACCCTCTGGTCCCGAGGACCCTCTGTCAATGTGGGGCACTTCAGTCCCTTAGGAGCTGGGTTCTGGGTCCCCACCAGCATTGGGGGGAGGGCTGTCTGGTGGCCCTAGAGACTGAGGAGAGGGGAAGGGGGCCTCAGGACTGAGGCCTGGACCTTCTAGTAAAGCCAGCAGCCACAACATGAGCACCCACTGCGTGCCAGCTGCCTGCTAAACCTTTTCTCACTGAACACTCCCAGTAGGTCGACAGGGCAGTGTTCTCACTGAGGAGGAAACTGAGTCCCAGAGAGGCCCAGTGACTCCCCGTCACATAGCTAGTGCATGTCAGGGGGCCCAGCTGGGTCTGAGGAACTGGGGGGGGGTGCACAGAGGACAGAGGTTGGGAGACAAGGGTCTGGGGAAGGGGCTGCTAATCAGGATGGTCACTGCTCTTGTGACCAGCAGCTCACGTGTTTGGGGTGGTGGTGACATGCAGGCTAAGAGCTTTACGTGGAGCAGCTTTAAGCAGGACACGAGGTCTGTTATCGACCCCTTTCACAGATGAGAAAACCGAGGCCCAAAAGGGGTGAAACCCTGACCAAGGTGGACGAGAAAGGGCACAGAGAGAGGGAGAAAGGAGCCTGGGACAAGGTGGGGAGCTGGGGCGGTGGGAGACAGGGCTCCGAAGAGGTTCCGTGTTGGGAGCCTCCTGTAAGAGGCGTGGCTGGAGCCTGCATCTGGGTAAACAGGGGCAAGGCCATGGCCAAGTGTCAGGCCTGAATCATCCTGCCCCCACCTCCTGGCCTCACCAAGGGTGACTGGACTGAGTCCTTGGCCAGCTTTGGTGCCCCTTGCCCTGCCGCCTGGACATGGGCACAGTGACCGGAGGGCGAGCGTATGTGGTGAGCCCTGGGAGGTGCGGGCAGACAGAGCCTGCCTGTGGCCATGGCCTGGGGGTGGCCGTGGGGGCAGGAGTGGGGGCTGAGTCACAGAGCAAACACCCAGGGCCCACAGACACAGGAGTGTCTGTCCCACTCCCATCCAGGTCCCCTCCTCGTGGCCACGGCGCTGACCTCTTTCTCTCAATTCTGCTGGTGGGTGTGTCTGGAGAAGGCTGAGGGCAGTGCGCTAGCAGGATTTAGTAACTGCCTTCCAGGGAGTCCAACTTAGCCCCAGATGCCCTGGCTGAAGGCGGCTCCGTGCTCGGCCGTGCCAGCTGGGCAGACGGGCAGAGGAAAGAGAACAGGGCCAGGAGGCCTGAGTGCCCCAGCCTGAGACCAGGGTGAGCAGTTCTGTGTGACTCAGTTTCCTCGTCTGTAAACTGAGCTTGGCAACAGCTGTTCTGCTGTCTCCTGTGCTGCAGGGTGAGCTGGGGAGGCATGTGCGTTCATCAGGAGAAAGGGCTGGAATGTCAAAACGTGTCTGCAGACGTGGGAGGTCATCACTGGTTATCAGAAAATGATCCTGGCTGCTCCTTCCCCTGCTCTGGAGGGTGAGGGTGGAGAACTCTCTCCCTCTGGGACTTCCTTGGAGACCTCAAGCTAGGCCTGAGAATGGAGCTATATTTTGTTCTTCTTTTTTTTTTTTTTTTTTTAAGAGACTTTTGCTGTAGTGCGCTTGTACTTACCGGAGAGACAGAGAGAAATGGATAGAGAAAGTAAGAAATCACCCTCCATGGTGGATGGCCACTCCACAGTCCCTTCTCCTTCATCCTCCTCTTGGGATTTTGGGCACACATTCACATGCGCCCGGGGTGTTTGAAGCCGCCAGGTCTGGGATTTGAACCACAGTTGGCCATGTGGGAGTCCAGCGTCTTAACCACGACACCACCTGCTGATCCCTCTTTTACTTTTCCATCCCTTGAAGGATGGGGCTGTATCTGGCTCTATTTCCCTGCCCCACCCTGGCCCCCAGCTCTTTTCCCAAGTTCAGGGCTGCCTCTTCCCATACAGCCTCCTGAAGCAGGCTGCCTGGAGCCTGCCCACACTGCCCTGGCTCCTCACCATTTTATAGCAGAGGTCTTCTCCCTCCACAGAGAGTGGTGACGGGACCCTGCAACTTTCCACGGCCCACACCACCCCCTTATGGTCCTAGCTAAGTGGTATACCCACGGAATTTTCGGCAACCCATCAGAGCTGGGTTCTTAGTGCAACCCTCATGTTGCCACCTGCTACTGTTTGAATACATCTCCCCAGAACTGGGGGGACTTGGTTGTGATGGAACTAAGAGGGTGAAGAATGTTGCCACCTGCTACTGTTTGAATGCATCTCCCCAGAACTGGGCAGACTTGGTTGTGATGGAACTAAGAGGGTGAAGACTTAATCCAACTATGGAGGTAAGAGATGGGGTCTTAGGGAAGACACAGACACACGTTTGTACACATGCTCTGCTCGGGCTCTTCCATGTGACACCCTCCACCGTGTTATCCTTGCCAGATGTGACCTTTGCCCTTAGACGCCCCCAAACTCTGAGCTCAATAGCCTCTACGTGTTATAAATGACCCAGACTCGGGCACTTCTGTTTTCAGTAATGGACTAAAGCACAACATCGGTACCAAGTGTGGAGGGTTGTTAATAATAAATGCCTGCCAGTGTGGAAGTGGATTTGGACCTGAGTAATGGGCAGAGTTTGGAAGAACAGTCTAGAGAGAGCTTAGAACGTGCTGGGGAAGAAAAGCAGTGCAGAACAGCCTGTGGGATACAAGGTCCACTCGCATTTCAGAGGCCGCGGGAAAACATCAGGCTGAGGCCGAGGCTATGCCCCATGCCCATCAAGGGTATGGTCCAAAATGGCATGTTTTAGTTTGCAGTAACAAGCTGTGATGCTGCAAAAGGATGACAGGTTGTACGATGTGACCCCCACCCTTTCTGCTTCTCAATATTCTTGAATTCATGATGTAAAGGGTAAGGTAGGGCTAATCAGTTGTCTGCATGATTTTAAATGAACCAATATAAACTCCTTTTTCTTTTGAAAGCAGTTTTCGCCATGGGGTGCATGAACTTGCCAGACAGAGAGAGCGAGAGACAGGCATAATGAGAAGGAAAGTGGAGGAACCAGCAGTTAGCGTAATGGCTGTGTCGCTGGACTCCCACGTAGTCGACCGATCACCCCCCAGTGGGGATGGCTGTGCTGCAATCCCTTCTCCTCTATTCTCCTCCTGAGATTTTGGGCATGAACACACATGTGCCTGACGTGAGCTTGAAGTCACTGGGTCCAGGACTCGAACCACGGTTGACCATGTGGGATCCAGTGATGTAACTGCTAATGCTGTCTGCTGGTTCACCAATTAAGCTCCTTTTCTAAAAAAAAAATTTTTAGAGAGATTTTTGCTACAGGGTGTGTGTGCTCGCTGGAGAGACAAAGAGACAAAAAGTGAAAAATCACCCCCCGGGGAGATGGCCACACTGCAGCCCCTTCTACTCCATTCTCCTCTTGGGATTTTGGGCCTGCACACACATGCACCCAGACTGAGTTTTAAGTGGCTGGACCTGAGACTTGAATGGAAGTCAACTACGTGGGAGTTCAGGGATGTGACTATTATGCCATCTGCTGGTCCCCATTATAAACTTTTTTTTTTTTTTTTTTTTTGCTGTAGAGTGCATGTGCTCACCAGAAAGACAGAGAGACAGAAAGCGAGAAATCACCCCCCAGGGGAGATGGTCACGCCGCAATCCCTTCTCCTCCATTTTCCTCTCAGGATCTTGGGCACACATGCACACATGCCCGGCATGAGTTTAAGCCACCTGGTCCAGGACTTGAACTGTGGTTGACTACATGGGAGTCCAGCGACACAGCCATTATGCCAACTGCTGGTCCCCATTATAAACTCTTAAGGAACAACTTGTAACCTCCCTCCTCTGCCTTTTTACTTTGTTATATAAGCCCACTTTATTGGTTGCAATTTTCTTGAGCACATGTCTAAGAAACTACAGATCTGTTCTTCTAGGTGATTTGTCTTAAGCCCTGGCTCAAATAAACCACTTTGTTTTTTATTTTTAGTTTTTGTGATAGAGTGTGTGCATTTACCAGAGATAGAGAAAGGGAAAGTGAGAAAGCATCCCCCAGAGGAACTGGCTATGCCACAGTCCCCTCTCCTCCATTTGTTCTTGGAATTTGGGGCATGCACATACACACACCCAGCATATTTTTCAAGCCACCAAGCATGGGATTTGAATCATAGTCAGCCACGTGGGATCAGCTGCCTTAACCGCCATGCCACTGGCAAGCCCCATAAACCAGTTTTATTTTACTTATTATGTCTTTTTATAGGTTCAGTGTTAAAGGTGATTCTAGTAGTAATTCAAAAGATGAGAAGACTTAGGGAAATTTGGAACCATCTTAAAGGCTAGTAACATGGTCATGGCCAGAATGCTGATAGCAATTTGTCCGATAAGAAAAAAAAAAAAAAAAAAAAGAAAGAAAGAAAGAAAAACAATGGCCAAGAAGGCCATTCTGAGGTATAGATTAAAATGAAGGATATCCTGTTGGATATTGGATATCCAATTAGAAATTGGAGAAAATGTCATCCTTGTTACACCATTGCAAAGAATTTGGCTGCATTGTGTCCATGCCCTAGGGCTTTGTGGAATGCTGAATTTAAGAGTGGTGAATACTGGGCTGGATCCAGGACCTGGTGGGCCAAGAAGGTCATTCTGAGGTATAGATTAAAATGAAGGATATCCTGTTGGATATTGGATATCCAATTAGAAATTGGAGAAAATGTCATCCTTGTTACACCATTGCAAAGAATTTGGCTGCATTGTGTCCATGCCCTAGGGCTTTGTGGAATGCTGAATTTAAGAGTGGTGAATACTGGGCTGGATCCAGGACCTGGTGGGTAATACAGTTGGACCCTACATGGCTGACCCTCCAGTTTGAGTCCCAGACCGGGCAGCTTGAAAACATGGTGAGCATATGTGCATGCATGCCTGAAATGTCGAAATGTGGAGATGTGGAGAGACTGCAGCACGACCATTCCCTGTGGAGGGGTGCTTTCTCCCTCTCCCTCTTTCTGGCAATCCCCCCCACCCCTGCAAAGAGTAGCAAATGTTTGGAAAAAAATGTCTAAGCATAAAGCAAAAGGAACTATGTGATAAATTTTAATTGCTTATAGTGGGATGAAAGAGAAATGAGATGAACTAAAGATAGAATTGACAATTAAAAGAGAGGCAGAGCAGAAAAAAAAAAAAAACCTGCAATATTTATAACCATGTAAAGTGTGAAAAAGCATGTTCAGAAGACAGTGTGGCCAAGCCACAGCTAGGTAAAGAGATTCGCTGTGCTAGTAGGGATCCAGGTGTTAATTGTCAAGATAAGGAGGAAAGGCCTTGAGTGCATTTCAGAGATCTCCAAGGCTGCCTCTCCCATCATAGACTCAGAAGTCTAGGAGAACAGAATGGTTTCAAAGGACAAACCTAGGGCAGTCTGGCTGTACTGAGCCACCTCAGGATTCTACTCCCTACATCCTGCTATAGTACTCCTTGGCCCTGGCTATGATTCAAGTCGCCCCAAGTGCAGCTTGACCTGCTATTAAGGCTGCTGCTCAGTCTGCCATTCTGGAATATGCTTGTAGCAGACCTTGGTGTGCATGTGGAAGTAATTCTGCAGGCTTGCACAATTCTAGAGCTGTGGAGGTATGGAGCCCTCCACCTGGATTTCAAAGAATGTCTTGGACAACCTCAGAGGTCTAGTTAGAGATTTTCACAGGAATGGGGTCACTGCAGAGAGACCCCACTATGGCAATGCCAAGCAGAAGTGTGTGCACCCAACCTGCCATGGAGAGTACCCACTAGAGCAATGCCTAGTGGAGGCATAGAGGCAAGGTTATCCTCCAGACCCCAAAACCAGAGAGCTACCAGCATGCAATGCCAGCTTGGGAGAACTGGAGGCATAAGATTCCAAACCAAGAGGGCTGAAGTACAGACCTAGTCCAGCAAAGCCATGGAGATGAGGCTGCTTGATGCTCTGGAAACCCAAACCCCTCAGAGTGTTCAGGATGTGGTATATGGAGTGAAAGCTTTTTCCTGAGTTTTTGTTTTTTAGTTTAGTTTAGTTTTGTTTTGTTTTGAGAGGTTTTTGCTATAGGGTACTTGCGCTTGCCAGAAAGAGAGAGACAGAGAGACAGAAAGCGAGAAATCACCCCCCAGGGGG